AAAAGCAGTTCTTCTGGCTGTTAGCTCATCTGGAGCATTTATGCATCTACAGCACATGTTCAGGTCATCAGAAATGACCTAAACATGTTTGGTCTGTTTGGAAAGGCTGCCCAGAAGGTTGAGAAAATTTGTTCCCCATATAAAATATATGATGGTGAAACTTTGGTGTGCAGACCTGTACCACAAGGATCCCAGAACAACGTTGATTAGACAAAGGGCATGTATCCCAGCAGAAAACCACACACAGAATATACAGGTATAAGTACAAACATCTCACACCAACAGTCAAGCACGGTGGTGGGAGGAGGAATTATTTAATCTTGTTTTACAGCCACATGAGTTTATGATGAACTCCTGTTTACCAAAATATTCTGGAGTCAAACATGAAACCCATCTGTCTAACTGCTGAAGACTGGTTCAAACTGGATCATCAACAGGACAATGACCCCAAACATCACCGTTTGGTCACCATTTCTGGTTCCTTTCCACAACAGAAAGGAGCCAGGGGGTGGTCTAGACTTTGACTGGACTACAATGGTCCAGTCAAAGTCTAGACTACAAGCTGAATGAAACAATGTGCTAGGGAATAAGCAGCACAGTACAGGGACACAAATCTGCACTACTGCAAATAAGAATCATGGAGAAACCATGCACTGTAAGGGTTTACTGCCAAAGGTGCTACATCAAGCATGGGGTGTGTTTACTTTTTACAGTTTTTAATTTCAGATTCATTTTCATTTTTAAAAAATAAGGGTGTGTGGTCTCCTATGCGTTTATGTATACTTCAAGTGTGATTGAAATTATGTTTGAACTTGGTAAAAACATTATTTTAACCAAAGATGTGAAAAAAGGTTTTGCGTTAGACCACAAATGTGCAGACACACACTAGGCCTGTCACGCTACACAATAAATCAATTAATAGTTTGATCATTTAAAATAAATTCAATAGTTTTCATTTGCATGATTTATCATTTCTCTCAAAAACTGGATGACAAGCCTTCAGTCTGGTGCTTTGGTCTTATGACGGTGTCCTGCAGCAGCTAGCAACAGATGCACACTGACACAGACCGCTTCAACTCAAACTAACGTAATGATGAGGTCAGGAGCATCAGGAATTTCTATACTATTGAAGACAAGAACCACAGAGCTTGAACAACCTCCCAAACACAGATACAGGCGCTCATCATCTGGAACTAGTGATGACTCGTGTGTTTTTCTTCCAGTCACATGGTAGCCCTGTAGCCATGAGGAAGCCTCTGTGCTTCAAACAGACCAGAGCTCCTACTGCCTGCTCCAACAGTAATCCTTCACTGTCAGCTAATGGAGCTCTGATGAGTCTGAGCCTCCAGGTCAGGATGAACTCTGCTTCATCTATTTTTATGTTTGTCTAATTTTGCTTCCTTGCTTCCTTGTGAAGCTTAGTGAGGGTGTTCACCACCAATGGGCTGCACACCAGGCCTCGCCGCTAAAGGCTGACTGTCAGTTGTATGAGCAGCTAATGAAGAGAAGAAGAACTTACAGGACCAGAGAATCCAGACATTCTTCCTTCTTGTTTATGTTCTGAGAAGTCTTAGCCACTGATCTCAGTCTGACCTGTATCTGACCCCTGGGCTCAATACAGTAATGTTATGTCCTCCATTGAAAGAGAAGCTAGTCCATGTAGAAACTGTGATCCTCTGAAGAAGACACAGCCATAAACGGCATATTCTGCTGACTTTCACAATAAAACCCTAACCAGACGAATTAATAATGCAGCATGACATCAGGAAACATGTCATTGTGATAGAATTGCTGAATGTTGCCATGACAATGAGTCAATTTCTTCCTGTTAACCCCGTTACAATGACCCATCCTTCTTTGAGCTTCAGCATGACCAGTGACTGTCCATCCAACAGGACAGAGACATTATTAGTGCATGACACTTTGATTCTAATATTCTACCAAATATTACATCCAAACTGTGATTACAACTTTGCAAAAACTGACTTTGATGTGATTTTCATTCAATGTATTAACTGTACCAAAAAATAAACTAAATGTTAGGATCTCAGTTACCAGCTACATGACATGTTTACACCAAACATGCGTCTGCAGGTCATCCTGGTGTTAGTTTATGCCCTTAGTTTATTTATGGGCATAAACTAATCCCTAATTTATGGGTTTATGGGAGGTCTGAACACGATTGCAGGCCACATTTTTTTTTACAATTTTATTTGTAAAAAATTTTGAAAATCAAGCATAATTTTTCCTCCATTTCAGGAATAAACACTGTGCTGTGTGGACCCATCACATAAAACCCCAAAATAAAAAATACACTGATGTTTGTCATTGTGATGTGACAAAGTGAAAAAGATGAAGAGGTCTGAGTATTTTTGCAGGGTGAGCAGCACAGTGTTGCACTCTCTATAACTACTTTGGCCAAATGAAATAAAATGACCAAGAGTGGACCATCATCCACAGGGTTCCTGAGGTTTTAAATATTGGAATTAAATAAAATAATAATTAAAAAAACACACACAACACACACATAATATTTGTCACTTCCTCAATACATGAACTTAAGGTTTGTAGTTATACATGTGAGTAAAAATGATTTCAAAAAGAAGAGAAACTTGTGATAGGTTCCAAACAACATACCAAGGTGAAAACAATTCAGCAGATTTATACTAAATATGAACGCAACAAACCCGGAAAAGAGAACAGAGAAGACTTTGAGCCTTCAGACCTGTGACATGGATCACAGGACGAAGAAAAAGGAGAAGATGCTAACAATCTAACACACTCAATCAACCCAGGCCTTTGTTCTCAAACGGAGCGGATCATCTGAGGACAAAGTGTGTTTAGTCTCTGTGGGTCCAAACTGCATCAACACACTGCAGCCACGAGGATCATGTCCATAAAAGGCCAGATGAAGCAGATCTCCTTACACGAAATACCTATTATACCTACTCCTGTGTTTCTTTGAACTTCAGGCTTTCAATAATCACTTCTACCATTTTGAATCTTTTGATTTTTATGGAGTGTGCCTTGCTGTTTTCCTCTGACCAGAATTGAAATGCCCCTTTCAATCCTGAAACAGTAAATCTTTCAGCCTTTGTCCACATGACTCTTTCCTCCCAGCAGACCTTCAGCCTGTTTCCTCTGAGCACAGCTGAACTTTACCCAAAAACTAGAATCCAGCTGCTTTTTCTAAATATAATAAGCAGGAGGAAATACCTCCACAGCTGCCAGCACACAATGTGCCATAAAAGTCCACATCTTTTCTATGTGTTCTGCCTCAAAGACAAAGTGAAAAGCTTGCTGGTGTGCAGGAGCAGAATGAGTCCTGCAGGAGGAATTTCTGTCTTTTATCAGGATGACTGCAGCAGAAAACAACTTGTTAAACATCAGCACTGTGATCACTCTGCTGTCACACTCAAGCTATTCGGTTCAGACCCTAACACTGGCCAACATTTCACACCATGCCAGACATGAACACTGCAGAAAGCCAGTTCCCAAGCCCTGACCACTGAGGCGGAAAATGAATCATTGGTTGAAACAAAACTATGTTCAGTGGAAACAATTCAGTTCAGATCTGCAGGAACAGAGACTGGAGGACCTCCCACTTCCAGTTTCTTCAGAATATTTTTGTCCTCTGGCCACCAGGAGTATAAACTGCAAAACTTAAAAAAAAAAGTATCACAGACCTTCAAAATAAAATGTGTGCTTGCAGTTTGACATCCAAACACTCTTTGAATATGATCAAAAAGATTCTGTACTTTAAGTTCAGACAGTGAACAGCCCACAGAGAAGCCTTCATGTCAGAAAGAATCCCAGGCTCATCGGCCTTGGAAACATGGCATGTCAACATTTCAAGCCAAGATGGAAACTGTCACCACAATACTGCCTCCTGTTGCAATAACAGATGACAGTGTGTGTCAGAGCTCCTCTGTAAAATGTGTCAAAGTATGTAAAGTTATTGGGAGCTAAAACTGATCATCTAATTACTGGAAATCTTGTAAAACAAGAGTCCTAAAAGCTTGAGAATATCCAGCATTACATTAGATCACATGACAGCAGCAGCTGACCAGTTCCACTCCATCCAGTCTGCAGCCAGCAGAACCAGAGCCCAGCATTAAAAGCAGGTCATGGTGCAGCTGCAGCCTGACCAGCACTGAGGATTATTTCTGTCCCTGAGGAACGGGGGAGCGGCTGCAGCTTTATTCCACCTCCATCCCCCACTGATGGAGGCATCTGTCTCCATCTTCCATAGAGCTGCATTCAGAATCAGGGTGTGGCTGAATCTGATTACTGACAGCTGCAGTGGTTCAGCTCATGTCAACACAAATCTTCCTCTCACAGCAGAGGCAGACAAGGACAAAGACAGAACTCCGTCTAATATCACAGGTCAGCCTTCTTCACTCAGACACATCATCATCATCATTATCTGCTTGTGCCCATCCAGTAGCAACCTGTCCAGGAACAGCAAACTGCTAAGGATGGAACATCAAGTGTTCTGGATGTTAAAGGGAACACAGCACAGAAATCTAACCAAAACCACACATAATGACACCAAGCCTGACATTAATATAGAATTATGATTTTTGTTATATTTTGCAGTAAAACAAGCTGAAGAAGAAAAAGGATCCATCATGATTCAAGCATCACCTTCAGTGTTAGTAGATCAGATGGTTCCAGTCTGAACTTAAACAGATAATTTATGTTCTGAAACCAGCAAAATAATTTCTTGCTGGAAAAAGAAAATAATGAACCATGTTGGTGAACTCCAGGTAGCAACCAGAGTATTCTCCAGATAAGGAAGTAATATAATCTTCCATTGTATCCGCTCAGGTCACACACTAACTGTTAGCTCTGCTGGTAGCTTTCAGAGGTGTTCAACTTTGTAATGTTGCTTTCTATTAAATAGACTTAATATTTCCTGCACCACTCCCAGTTCAGTGTGGTTCACATTTCTGAGCTGTGTTAATAAGCCTGGATTGAGCTCATCAAACAGGACTTACCCGGGAAGGCATGCGGGTTGGACGACCCTCTCTTGAGGCACTTGGAACAGAGAATATGTACATTATAGTGCAGGCCAGGCCACTCCTGCAGCAGCATGTTCAGCTCCTCCACCAGCGGAGTGACAGCCTGCCAGGCGGTCCAGATGTTAGGCAGTGAGGCGTGGCTAACAATGGACAAAGTCTCCATGAACAGCTTCCCCTTAGAGGGCTGGTGGCTGATCACCACTGGGACCTTCCCCCGATAGGCAAATATCTGATGCCTGCCATCTGATCGCTGGACCACATGGTTGTTGATCTGCACACTGAAGCGTGCAAAAAGTCCAGGAGGAAACAGGAAAGGGAAGCTGTACTGGATGTAGAGCTGCTCCACTGAGAACAAGGGGCTAAGATTCAGAGAGTTTCCTCCCACTGAGTCTTCAAACTGAGCCTCCTCGCTACTGACATAGCTGGGAAACTTGTACCACACTGTGGCTCCATTCAAGGGCTTGGTGCGAGGTTTGTTGATGCAGTAGCAGACACCCATCTTCTCCAGGAGCTCCATAATGAGGTGGAGGTCCTGCTGTGTCTCAATGTGTGGTCTGAGGAGCAGGCGGATGACATTGGAGGGCAGGAGGCCATCATGGAGGAAGCCCTCCAGGTGCTGCTGAAGATGAGTGACCCTGAGGTTCTCTCCCTTCTCATCCTCAATAACTAGACTCACTCTCCCCTTGTCACCCCTTTCCCCTTCAGACAGCAGCCGGTCCAATAGAGTGGACTTGTCCCTCTGAAAGAAGACATTAAGAATTGCAATAAAACGTGGAAGATTGTGGAAAACATACTCCTTCAGTGTGATGCTGTCCTCAAAGTAGAGCAGCTTCCCACTCTCATGCAGGTAGGACAAGGCGCTCTGCAGTCGGTCCTCTGTGAGTCCCGCCTGGAGGCCCAGACGGGCTGAACTCCACCATGACAGCCACAGATCTTTGGATTTAAAATGCAACTCCTCCAACATCTGCCAGGACTTTGGCAGCACACGGTGAAGGTTGGGGAAAATCTCCCTGTGGTCTGCAACCGACATGAGCTTCTCCCTCAGCCTCTGGATGTTCTTCTGGGTCTCTGTGCAGCTAATATTCAGGACTGGGGACAGGATCTGCAATCGCTGGTTAAGCATGTACTGCAACTGGGCTTTCTTGCGCCTCAGGTTCTTGTCGCTGACACCATAAAAGAGAACGTGTGGGCTGGAGGTGCGGACCTTATAGCCTTGCTCCAGAGCAAGGTCTACCTGCTGGACCAGGCTTCTTAGACATTGGATGTCGCTCCTCTCCTGGAGGCCGATCTGTCTGTGTATGTCCAGAGTTTTCTCCTCCACCTCCATCTCTCCACACAGGTCTGCATGTGTCCCCACCAAACACACAACAGCATGAGGGACTTTAGCGCACAGCAGGTGAAGGAAATACCCGACGTGGGCATAAAAGTTCTTGGGCGAGTAAGCTTTAAGATTGACAACGAGAACATAGAGAGCACCGGGGGAGAGAAAAAAGGGTTTGATGAGGTCATAGTTTAGGTTCCCTGACAAGTCGTACACTAAGAACATTAGATGGCGATCAGAGTCTGCCACCCAATTAGTGACTTCTATTCCTTTATTTCCCTGGGTTCCTCTGACATCCTGCTCAGTTGGTACCAAGCTCTGTCTCAGCTTGGTCTTCCCAGCATTTTTTGTCCCCATCAGAACCAGTTTGAGCCATGGCTTCACAGCAAGCTGAGACTGTGCTAGTTCCTTCTGGTAGACAGCAATGTATGGGATTCCCTTCATGCACACCTCATATGGAGGCTGGATGAGAGGGTTATCCTTCACCTTCCAAATGTTAACCCTGGACAGCTTGCCAAAATGATCTGGAAGAATGGCTATTTGGTTACCCTGTAAAACAAGTTCCTCCAACTTCTCCAGCTCCACAATGGAATCAGGTAGATGAGTGATGTTGTTGTTGTCCAGCCAGAGATTTACCAGCTTCACCAGCTGAGCAATTCCCTCTGGAATATTAGTCAGTTTATTTCTGCTCAGGTACAGTTCCTCTAATCCTGTAATGCTTAAAACAGCCTGTGGAAATTCGTTAAACTCGTTGGAGGACAAATTTATCATTTTCAGTCTTTGCAGCTGAGCAAAGGATGAAGGCAGCACTGTGAGGTTGTTTCCATCCAGCATCACACTCTCCAAGTTGTGCAGGTGACAGAAAGTGTCAGGTAAGGAGGACATGTGCAGACTGCTGAGCCACAGGATCTTGGTGGACTTCAGCCTCAAAATGTCAGCTGGCAAAGCCTGAAACTTGTTCCCAGAGAGGTCAAGCTCCTCCAGCTCCCCCAGGGCCAAGATCTCAGCGGGGAACCGGTTCAGCTTGTTGTGATCTGCATCCAGAGTTCGCAGCTTGCAAAGGCTGGTAAAAGACCTGGGGAAGTCGTGCAGGTCGTTAAAACTGATGTCAAGTTCCTCCAGAGTCTGAAGCGCTCCAATCTGAGCTGGAAGGTTCTGGAGTTTGTTGTGACTGATGCAGAGCTTCTTCAGTCCTCTCAGCTGCCCCACACCATCAGGCAGGCTTCTCACACAGTTGTGACTCATGTCGAGCTCTACCAGTTGCCCCAGCTCAAACACCACCCTGGGCACAGAGGAGAACCTGTTCCTGCGGAGGATGAGGATGCGCAGGTTGTTGAGGGTGGACTGCAGTCCGTCCGGCAGCTCCTGAAGGGAGTTGTTTCCCAGGTTGAGCACCTCTATGTCGGATATATCGTCAGGCAGGATGATCTGGTTGTTTTTGGAGCAGAGGGTCAGCTGGCGGAGGTTGCTCCGCAGCTTCCTGGAGCGGAGGGCGGCATCCCTCCACAACCTGGCCGTTTTCAGATTGTTCTCCGTTTCCTCCATGGCGTTGCACCCAGATCCCTCCTTCTCCTCCTCCTCCTCGTTGTTTTCATTTAGAGTTTTCATGATTCCTGAGCGGGCAGCATGGTGGACAAAGTCCCTCAAAAAGCAGCGCTCCTCCGATGAGCAAGCCAGAAGTCAGAAGGGGGACAACAGCCCCTCGGCGTCGGCTAATAATCAAGTGTTGTGGCAGGAATGGGAGGGGTTCCTGCGGCCGCGGAGACATCCTCTTCTCCTGCGCCACTCAGCACACAATGAGAGCAGACCACCGCGATTACAGCTCCAGCTTCAACCCTGAGCCCGAGGCCCGGGGCTCCGCCTGCCCTCTGATCATCACAGTCAACATCGTCGCGCACAGAAACCGCCCTGAGGCTCCCAGAGTCCGGGAGGAGCCGAGTGTTTGTGATGGCTGCAGAGCCGCCGTGGGTCCTCCGGGGAGCGGAGTGGAAGTGAGGCAGAGGCAGCAACAGCAGCGCACACTGCGTCAGATCTCTGCGCTCCTCCTCCTTTTCTCCTCCTTCCTGTTGTCCGGAGAGAGGAGGGAAAGTGGTCATCCTCCCATCGTTTCCCTGCTGCAAAACTCACTACTGTACGAGATTCCAGAGCAGAAATGTTGTTATAATGCGAGTAGAAACATGTTGGGTAGTGGTGGAGACTGTAGGTCCCGTTGATTGAAGGGAACGAAGATATTTTGTAGACAATAATGACCAGATTTAAATGTTTTTTAATAGAACAAATATCAGTAAACAGCTGGTAGTTTCAGTCAGCCACCTTTTCATGTTCTAATCATGGAATTATCCTTTCCTGGGATGATGTGTAATAAATTACATTTTAAAATACGTTTGCCAAAAAAGACACATTAAGTTCCAACTTTGATATACACCATTAAATATAAATGATTTTCTTATAATTAATATAAGAACAAGTAGATTTTTCATGTCTTTTCGATGCTAATGGAGAAAACATGAAAACCCCTACATGACTCTTACTCCACCTAGTGGACGGAGTGTATAAGTTCGACTAACAGTTACTCCAAAGTAAAGGGGAAGCAGTAGGCGACTTTTCAACACTTTAGTCAAAAATCACGAATACCTGATAAAAGTATCTAAATATAAAAATAAAAAATCTTACTTCTAGCATTTTTCTTGTTTTATTCTTCATCTGCCCTTCACAGTTCCTTTAAGTCGGTTTGTCACATATAATTCTGATAAAATATAACATTTGTGGTTGTAACATGACAAAATGGGTAAAAGCTCTATGAATACTTGTACAAAGCACTGCAAGAACTAAATATAGAACAGGAATATAATGGTGCATTGAGGTACAAAACAGAATATATTTAAGTTCAAAAGTGTTTTTTATTGAGTAGAGGTACACAGTTGAAAAGTCAGGGCTACGGGGTAAAACTAAGAAATTTGGCAATCAACTGTTTGGGCCTTTTTTGGTCTATTTTTGTGCTAGAAGTATTACATATTTTAATTATCGTGTAACTTTAGTAGATTATAATTGTTTACAACCTCCAAAAATAAAGTTTCTTTCTGTTCGTTCCATGGTGAGTGAGTGTTCAGTAGATGACTCTGTGTTCAAATAATAGATTGGATGGTTAAACCATTTCAGGTTTTTGTTTATTCATTTCTTTTCAATTACATTTACAATGACACCACACACATAAGTCACAAACCAAAGCATTTGAGAACAGAAGTGCAAACAAGTCTTTTGAAGTTTGTGAGTTGTTGAATTTAAAAGTCCAAACACACTTACAAGTCCATGTAAGAGTGAAAGCAGTTAACCACTGTGTGCAGTTAAAGCATTATTTGTGGCCAGTCTGTACAACATGAAAGCCTTCATTAAAGGAACAATGCTCCATTTATTCTGTATTTTCATCATTGTCCTTCGGGGAAACAACCCTGGCTGGGTTTTTCTACAGGTTGTGAAACAAAGTAAACTGTTTCTTATAGAAATGAATGAAATGTTACTTTTTAAAACTATATCTTTGTCAGAAGATGTTTTGCTTGAATGAACATAAAATCAGTGTATTTGATCACTGCTGTTTCCATTTTAGCAGCCATTTTGTCTCCAGTGATTTGCTGGAAGTCAACAAAAAAAAGGAGAGAAAGCATTTCCATCTTTCTCTTCATGTCTTTGCTCTAGATATTCATTATTTACTCATATTACATCTCACAGAACAGCTTTTTAAATCCGCTTGGCAAACAGGTAAGACTTTAGCTTGCAGACACTGGCCTTCTTATGCAGCCTTTCTGGAAACTCCCCAGCCTGAAGTGGGAATGTGTATCGACTTTCCAGAGCTACAGCAGTGCTTCCAGTAACAACATTAGAACTTTAATACAGAATAGAAGCCAATATATAACTGAAAGAAATCTACATAGTTATGTTAGGTATAGATGTGACAGCATTAGCAACACCTACAAAGCAGGTTTTAGTGATTGCACATTTATCTCACAGTTATATTAATTCAGTGACAGGTTACTGGGACAGATATTGACCAACAAAAATCTGATTTTTGCTAATATTTTCTCTGTCTCTCATCAAATTCAGATAACAAGCCATTTTAAAATGTTTACTGAGTATGAGTCCAGGTGTGGTAGTTCAGTGACACATTCCCTTAAGCCGTTCAGTGGACCAATCAGACAAGGGTATGAAAGGAGTGACCTGTCAAAGGTAAACCCTGGAAATTAAACCACAACATGCTCACTATTTTATCAAAGCATGCGTCTTGAACCCAACCAAGTGTTGGGACGGTGATCCATAGCTCAGTATGCAACGCTACTCCAGCTCAGCCACACTAAACAGAAAGGCACCGTTGATATTTTTCTGCTCTGAAATCTACTGGGAACCTTTGCTACATACGAGCATATGGCACTTAACCTGCAGCTCATGAACATCTTTATACAGCTGTGTCTTCTTTTATAAAACTCTTTATTTGCTACGTCACTAAAATAAGTTTCTTTTTTCTTTTTTTTTTTCAAAAGTCTTTATACAGCAGTTAGCTTGTTGAAAGTTACATTTTAAGTGAATGTGTCTGTAGAAGGTATTTCTCTTAATGTTACACAGCAATGGGATTGTAAGGTTTAACCAGCAGGACAGGGCTTGGTGATGCTGGGTTAGTCCTGCTGCTCTCCACGTTCCAAAGGGCTGTGCTACTGTCTGCAGTACGGAAGGGCGCGTCTCCTCCATGAGGCTCGTCTGTTTCACCGAATAGCATGCTGTCACTGGACTCCACGAAATGCAGTACATGGCATACAGCACTTTTGGTGCTGCAGTTCTGATTCATTAGTTTCTCTGGTAATTCTAAAAAGCTGTAGCTGGCAGCGTCTGTCCCACAGTCCCCCGTGACTCCATAGGTAACATTCTTTGCAACGAGGGCTGGGCTGGGAGGTAAGCTGTGTGCTACCAGGCCGTGATTATAGTGGGAGAAGCTTCTCTTCTGATCGGCCAGTCTTGCGGACAGCTGCTGCTGGCTCTTCTTTGACAGCAGCAGCGGGCACTCCTCCTCAACAGAGGGACTTAGAGCCACTGAGGGGACAGAAAGGGCCAGGCTGGACAGTGGAGCAGACATCTCTGATGGAGGAGAGACAGGAGTGCTCAGAGCTGTCTTTGAGTCCGGAGACAGCTGGGACAGGCTTCTCATGGGAGAGGCAAATCTGCACAAACACAGTCAGAACAGAGATATTAGAAACAACTTAGTTCAAAAACTCATACTGCAGGACTGACCTGAAAAATGAAAATAACATACAAATATTTAAGATTCAACCCATGAAGTCTTTATTACAAACTCAAAGTAAGATAAAGTAAATGAGCAAGTTCAAGATGAGATTTTTTTATTTCACCAGATGCAACAATGAAAATTAGCTGGAAAATCACATCAGTCATAAAGGCCCACATGCCTTAAACCGAATGTTCACTAGGGGCGCTGTTTCCAGCTAACTTCACAGAGAGACCTCTTTATTCCTGATATCATTAGGATAATTTTTTCCATTATTATATTTTTAACTAATTTCTGTCAAATATCTCAGACATTGGCTGGTAAAGTCTTCTAATGTCTACCATAGCAGTGCAGCATTTCCTAAGGTAATATTTCCTGTTATGATTTCACAAGCTCTCCAACAGAAACTATTGTGCCACACATCTGCAGAAACTCACTTCATCAGTCAGCCCTCTGTTTGACTTCAAACACTTAAGATGAGTTTGAGTAATCAGCAACAACACTGTCAGCAGACAGACTCTTCTTACATCCACATACAGTCCACATACAGAACTATTACTTTCAAGTTTTTACATTTTTCTTCTGTGTTTAAATTTAAAAAAAAGATCAAATACCAAATCATTTAAGTCATAAGTGGAAAATTATGGCTTCATAGCACATACATCACCAATAAAGGAACACAGTGCAAGTCAAAACAGCCAGATACAATAAAGAAGGCGTCCTACTGCTATTCTGGAAACTAGAGGTGCACCGATTTATCAGCCAGCAGATTTCCATTATTTTGGGAGTTCTGTGTGTTCTCTGATCATCCGATACTTAACATGTGAAGTCAATCTTATCCACATGTACCTCAGCAAAGGTTTACAAGTCAGTCACTGTCCTCTGCTGCTCTCCAGTGAGAGATATTTGACTGATAGACTGGTCCACCAGGTCATGTCTACATGTTTGCTTTTAACAATAGTCACCCCAATGTTACCCACTCAGCGACTTTCTTGCTGTATTTAGCAACATTTCAGAAAAAAACAAAGATATTGGCCAAAATTGGAATCAGCAGCTCAGGCTTTTTAAAAGGTTGGTAATCGACAATCAGCCAGAAAACTGCAATCAGTGCACCAATCAGAAACAGATCATTCCAGTGAGAAGTGATTAAACACTGGTATGGTGATACATAATGACTATTTCTGTCAGCCATCCATACAATTTGAAGCAAATCCAAACAACATGACAAAGTTAATGAAACCAATTAAGTTTGGTTTTAATGTTTCGGGACATAATTTTGTTCTGTCTTATTTTTTTTTTCTTTTAAGCATTTCTAAGGTTTGATATCAATTGGTATATTATTTGTCATAAGTGTTCTCCATTTTTTTTTACTTCACTGTTTAAAAAATATAATACAATTAAATTTAGCTTAGCTAAAGAGTTTCTACAATCTACAACCAGAAACCAAAGACAAAGAGAAAATGTACTGACTGTGCAGCTCCATCTTATTAGCAACAGCACAGGATTTTTCACCATATTTTTAACTGTTATGAAGGAAAGACTGATTTTTAGATTGTATCACAGGTCCATTGTTATGGGCTGAGATAATATCTTAGGTCAGATGTATATTTTTATACATTTTTATTATGCTGACATTGGATCTTTCACTGAGTGCAGAGTTCACATTGACCAAGTGACCTAGATTAGGCCTAATGACAGCTGTCCACTCTAGAAACAGGACA